CCACTATTCTGGCAATCTGAGCTTCAGTAATGAGACAGTGTAGGCACTTGTTCATGAATGTCTGTGGTTTGTTGGAAATGCCCTTCGTAACGCCCCAACTCTCTCAACCATCACATAGAATCACTGACTTACTTCACTCAATTGGTGTTGAAAATGGGGATGTTGTTCACACTTTGTGCTGAGTGGAGTGGAGTGGAGAAGATCTCCACACTGATTTCAGGTTAATGCATGAAGGCCTGTCTTGCTGTATTTCCTATGCTGGCTTGCTTTGACATCCTCGTCTGTGTCTGTGTTGCCTGTAGTTGAGACAGTGCTGCCTAGATGGGTGTAGGTGAAGGAGGCTACTTCCTTTGAGTTTCTCCTATTGATGGTGATTGGTGCTTGTTGTTGCTGATGATGTTGTTGGTTGAGTATCATCATCACCTTTGTCTTCTCTACGTTGACGTGAAGGGAGTCCCGTCTTCGCCCCCCTACCTTACCTCTTCTGTCAACTTGTTAGTTTTCGCCTGTAGGTTTTCCAGTTTGTGCGAAATTAGACACAAGTTATCAGCGAAATCCAAATCTTCTAGGTTCTTTTCTGCGGTCCAGCGTATCCTCCTGACTAGTATTCCAACTGGGTGATAACTGAAGATGAAACAAAAATCCAGCCAGCAGTTGAACCTCATAGCTTAGTCGGCAGAGCATTGGGCTAGAAACCCGGTGATAACTTGTTCAAATTTTAATTTCACCTTCAATCATCAACCAGTATAACTCTATATATCTACTTCAATACTAATTTGCATTCGGTTGCCAAAAACTAAATGCCTAATAGATAGCTGATCACTTTTAAAATTCTGGAAGAGATATGTAACTGAAAATGAGGATGGTTTGGTATTTGATCAGAGTACATCATCCCTTTATCAATTCTAAATAATCCTCTTTTACCCATTCAGCAATCAATCAATCAAGTCATAGTACTGAATGAAAGAAATTATCCTTTCAGCTGAAGATGTGATGACAAAATATGTCCATATATCCTGAACGAATGTATATACCTGGTATCTGTGTATTAATCATGCCGAATCAATCAGTTATTAAACTGACTTCATGCTATAAAAGATCACCACTGTAATTTTCAAGATAGGATAGGATAGGATATCTTTACTATACATTTTTGGAGAAAAACCAAAATGTAAACAGAAAGTAAGATTTCTATTGAAACTACAGAATAGTTTATTTGGACGATATATGAATGATACCATTCCTCGATATTCTTCTCTCAAGATGAAAAGATGGGAATTGGTTTAAGAAAAGTATATAGAAGGGGTGATGTACACATTTTCTCAACTTTGGCCCTCTTCGGAGCAAAAGAAATTTAGTAAAAACTTCAAAGTATAAAGTCTGTATGTTTCGAAGATACAGTTGAGGAGGAAATGGTGACCTTGCATAACACACTAATCAAAAATGACTATCCTAATAAATTCATAAAGGAACATATGATCACAAAAATGGCAAGAAAAGATGTTCCTACAGCTAACAGAAATCGATATACATTCAGGTACAACTCACAGGTGACGTACTTAGCAACATATTAATTCACAAACTATGCAGATTACTTCAGAGAACTTGTAATGCTGATAAATTACAAATTTCTTCTCCCATACACCTGATGATTACCCCGAGACTGAAAGATGAATTCCTTCAACTGGTAGCTTCCTGTTGTGTTTACCAGTTTGACTAATCCCATGGAACTAGTTATATCGGCCACTGCTCAGGAGTTTAACCTTCTATGCTTGTGAACACCTTCCAGCGTGATTAAATAAAGGTGTGATAAGGACCATTACCACTTCCACATCAACATACTCCGTTGAAACGAACCATAAAGTGGACATAAATGAGTCGTTTTTGATTCTATACCACATTCTGACCAACTTACCAAAAAGGAACCCGCTTCGGGATTCTTCAGACTGCGGAAGCAGTAGTAATCAGAATCAAACAACCTGAGTTGTGTATTCAAAAGAAGCAAGTGTTACCCGTATAACTACAGTGTCCTAATTCAGGACACACAAACTCATTAGCATCCTACTCAAGATAATCTAATTCCATACTGTAGATACCTCTGCGTAAGCGAAGACGGGACTTCCTTCACGTGAACGTAGAGAAGACAAAGGTGATAATGATAATCAACCAACAACAGCATCAGCAACAACAAGCACCAATCACCATCAATAGGAGAAACTCAAAGGAAGTAGCCTCCTTCACCTATACCTATCTAGGCAGCACTGTTTCAACTACAGGCAACACACGCACAGACGAGGATGTCAAAGCAAGCCAGCATAGGAAAGACAGCAAGACAGGCCTTCATGCATTCACCTGAAACCAGTGTGGAGATTTCCTCCACTCCACTCCATTCAGCACAAAGTGTGAACAACATCCCCATTTTCAACACCAATTGAGTGAAGTAAGTCAGTGATTCTATGTGATGGTTGAGAGAGTTGGGGCGTTACGAAGGGAATTTCCAACAAACTACAGACATTCATGAACAAGTGCCTACACTGTCTCATTACTGAAGCTCAGATTGCCAGAATAGTGAGAATCAGCAAGAAGGAAGTCTTGCCGGCTGACTGACTGGCTGGCTGGCTGGCTGGCTGGCTGGCTGGCTGGCTGGCTGGCTGGCTGGCTGGCTGGCTGGCTGGCTGGCTGGCTGGCTGGCTGGCTGGCTGGCTGGCTGGCTGGCTGGCTGGCTGGCTGGCTGGCTGGCTGGCTGACAACAAACCAATGAGGCAACAACCTATCTCTCAACAAATATGCACTCGAAGGAAGTGGAGATGGATTGGATTCGATTGGATTCGATTGGGCATACACTGAGAAGGCCGATTGTGGACATCACGTGTCAGGCCAGTCTGTCGAGTGGAACCCAGATGGGAAACGACTAGTTGGTCATTCGTGGTGAGGGTGAGATGAATGAGATGGTGTGGTGTGAGGAATAAATGAGAGGTTGTGGGTTGTGGTTGAGAAGATTTGACAGAAGGTAGTGGAGTGGAGTGGAGTGTAGTTGAGACGTGCTAGTGAAGCCATATGTTCCACTAGGAACCCAAGGGACAAGTAATAATAATAAACTGAAGGGGTTGTCATGAGATTACCAATATCGCTTATTGTCACACATTTATATGTAGTCCGGAACGGATAGTCCCTCAAACATTTGGTCGTTTTCCAAATAAATGGTTTCGATATGTAGATGATAAATTTACAGTACTGAAATTAGAGTAATATTGATGGATGCTTACACATATAAATTGAGTAGGGAACACAATCGAATTCACCTACGATTAGAAAGGGATGAAGCTGAGTTAGCAATGTTGGATTGCAAGATTAAACGAAAGTAAGATAGAAGCTTAGAGACAAATGTCTATGGAGACCGTTTCGATTCGAATCTTACTCAAACTTCAAATTACCTCACCCTATCTCACTTTAAGTGGGCTTAGTTAGATGTTTACATGATGGGCAAGAAAGCTTACTAGTAGAAAACAGAATATTAGACAAGATATTAAACATACTAAGATTATCTTGCATATCAATAATTCCCCACCTAAATTCAGCAATAGAATCACAAGGAAACGTACGAAAAATGTCAGTTGTAGTAACACAGGTGTTAATAATAATCCTAACATAACAATCATAATACTACTGATAGCTATAGTGGTGATAGTGAAGACAGAATTCAAGCCTACGACTGTGTTACCATACAGAGGAAGCACCTCGGAACCGTTACGAAGAATTCTTAACAAGGATGGGATTGGAAGAGCAGTTGAACTGGAAAACTAGCTTAGAAACGAGCTTTGTAGGTTAAAAGACTATAGTGATTCAATTACTGAATCCCTTGAAACAATTACAAGTCAGATTGGTCGACCAGGGTCAATTAAGTTGTCTGAGTACAAAAATTTAGCCAAATCAACATTGGTTGGTCATAGTAATGTAAGAAATCTGGAGAAAAGCTCTGCATGCAATCGAGGGCAATCACAATAGGGTGGAGCAGAACAATAATACTAAAAATTACCTTAATTAGGTGGAGGAAGAGGTTGCTAACTGAATATGTGTTGATCGAATCAGCACCAAATACATACAGTAGAAATGATTCTGCAACTTTCCCAGATATACAGAAAATCCTGCTACTCTTATCATAAAGAAGGGTAGAGAATTAGGACTATGCAGATCATTGTCTCAAAGTTATGAAGTTACCTGATATGAATACAGGCAATAAACTATATTAGGAACGTTATCCAGTAAATGATATTATTTCACTGTGACCATTCTAATAAACAGACTAAAATGGAATTACAATCTACCACAGTGCCCAAGTTTTACTCCTATGTTACCAACCAGTTCTCAAGTTTGTAAATACCAATTTTAAATTTTTGACTCAGTCAACTTGTACTCAATTGAAAATGATGCATCAAAGCATATTGAATCTACTGAATTCTGCGGACCTTTAACCTCTTTTCTTATTTAAACAAGTAAAGGGATGTAAATATGAAAAAGTCTTCAATTTCATTGGTCAGTTTTTCTCTACCTTCAACGGTTGTAAAATTTGTGAAATAATTTTAAGAACCAATCAAATGATTTAAATAAGTGAGAGATGAGTTTACTTCCTCGTATATGTCCAGTCGACTATCAATTACCACTTAACAAAAGCAGCTTCTTCTAACCTACACTTGGTAAAACCCCTTTGAATGTTAATGAACTTAAGTTGACTATTGGTCTAGAAGACAATTTTCATTCTTAAAGCATTTCCAAAGTAAAATGAAGAGATCCGTATGTTGTCGATGTAAAAGAGATTTCTTGATGGGTAGGTGGGTGGTTAATTTGTTTCTTTTAAGCTGTAATAAATAAAATTAAGTTGGTTGATATCATATTAATAGTGAAAATTAATTGAGGTCATATCATCGAAAAGGTTTCCAACTTAATCATTTAACACTTATCATTGTTGATTGAACACAAAAGTTACTAGAACATAATTCGTAATGAGTGAAAAAAGTCAACATTTCTTAGTCAGTCGACTGTTAGGAGAAGGTGCAAAATCATATGAAAACAGTGAGTCTATCACAAAGCATGCAAACGATAACTTAATTTGTGATACTACTACTAATAATAATCATGAGTATGGGGATGGATACTCACACGGATTGAATATTGAAGAATCTAATAGTGGCGGTAAGTATATTTTGTTGATTGTAAATATACGAAATTCAGTTTTGCAAGTTTTGAGTACGATCTAGAAATGATTTTTAGATGTGTATTACCGAGATATTATCATTATTATTACTATCTGTCCCTTGGGTTCCTAGTGGAACACGCCGCCATTCAAATATCTTCCGAGTAGTCTCTTCAACCTTCCTCCACCGCAGCCTACAACCTCTCATTTCTTCCTCACACCACACTATCTCATCCATGTCACTCTCGCCACGAATGCCCAACTCGTCGTTTCCCATCTGGGTTCCACTCGACAGACTGGCCTGACACGTGATGTCCACAATCGGCCTTCTCAGTGTATGCCCAATCCAATCCAATCCATCTCCACTTCCTTCCAGTGCATATTTGTTGCGTGATGGGTTCTAGCCTCGTTGGTTCGTCACCAGCCAGCCAGCCAGCCAACCAGCCAACCAGAGTGAGTTAGCTCTTGCTGATTCTAATTACTCTGGCCATCTCATCTCCATCTTCAGTGTCAATATCCAGTGATCACAAGCGGCAGCTGATGATGATGATGATGATGATGTATGTCTGCAGTTGTTTGTTGAAATGATTTTCGTAACACACCAAGTCTCTCAACCATCACATAGAAGCCCTGACCTACTTGACTGACATTCGTGTTGAAAATGCGGATGTTGTTGACGCTTTATGTTGAGTTGAGTTGAGTGGAGTGGAGTGGAGTGGAGTGGAGTGGAGTGGAGTGGAGTGGAGTGGAGTGGAGTGGAGTGGAGTGGACTGCAGTGGAGTGGAGTGGAGTGCAGTAGATCTGCACACCGATTATTTCAAATTGATGAAGACCTGTCTTGCTGTCTTTCCGATCCTGGCTTTCACATCCTCATCTGTGTCACCAACACCTGTAGTTGAAACAATGCTACCTTACCTAGGTAGGTGGGTAGGGGAAAGAGACTACTTCCGTCAGGTTTGTCCCGTTCACGGTGATTGATGCTTCTTGTTGTTGGTTGGGTGTCTTCATCACCTCTGTCTTCTCTACGTTCACGTGAAGGAAGTCCCATATTCACTGCCCTACCTCACCTCTTCCGTCAACTTGTTAGTTTTCGAGTTTGTGCTACAAGATATTAGACATAAATGATCATCGTTGGCAAAATCCAAATCCTCTAGAGTCTTTTCATCGGTCAAGCAGCATATGCTCATCTTCTCGCTCCTCACGGTTTACTGAATGTTCCAGTCGACCACAATCAGGAAGATCGTCGGTGATAGCAGGCGGAAACCTTGTCTTACTCCTTCCTGTCTTCACTATTGATCACACAGTGTCATCAGTACGGGGATCAGTGAGAATCTAAGAGTATGGAAAATTTGTTTCTTCCCGTCAAGAATTTAAATAATAGCCCTCAGATTTCATGACAAGCCACTGAATAGGAATTCAATGGTTCACAGTTTCCTACATCTATCAATTAACAGTATTGAGCGACCAGTAACCATTACCCTCAGTGAGTATTTGTCGGCACTTCCGACTTCATTTACCCCAGAGGTCTCCGTCTCTTATTGTTTAGTAATGCATTTTATTGATACTTGACGGTTTGTATAGTTAATTAAACAGCTTAACTTCAGGAAACATTCATCCACCAATTTGCTTGACTGCACTATAGTAGATATTTTCAGAATAAAATTTAATAAGGCAGTAAATATTTGGCAGCTTCTATTCCTTATAGTATAACAGTAAAAGTTGATAATGTAACAATTATATATGGTGGTATCAAAACTATTTGTTAAAAGCCTACTGATTACATGTAGCTTAGCATTTATTAGAGCCTTCTGTGAGTACATATTGTTAATCTGTCATTTCAAACTAGTATTTGCAAAGAATTAAATATCAGAAAGAAACTTTCTATGTAGTTCTAACACCAGTCTACCGTTCATGATGTAAATATTAATCTCAGTATTGACTGATAACAGTTAACTCAGGTACTACTGTGTAGTCGAAGTTCTGCTTTCCTATTTTAACTTCCTCTCTTTTTCTCTCCCTGTTCTAACATGGCTTCATTGACAATATTCTTCAAAATAAATTGGTAACCTGCATTTTAAAGTCATTCTGATTCATAATAAAAACTCCATGATAAGTCATCCCATGATGTTGTTATAATACTTGTAATTTCCTGTTGCTATACACGACCGAATTGCATGATCCCTGTTGGTAGATGAGCTCCTATTTGGATACCTTAATACTGCCGGATATCCACGATGTTGTATTCATCTTTGTGACTCGTAGAGGAATCCAAGATGCCCGTTTTATCCTAGTTGGGACCTGTCAGCCGAATTTACCTGCACCCCACTGAGTGAAGTTGTTCCCACTGACACTCGAAGCCAAAGCGTTATCTACTATCGTGGCCCAATGGTTTAGTGGATAACGCTGTGACGTTTGAAGTGATGGGTACTGGATTCGAGCCTCAGTGGGAGCAACATCACTCACTGGGGTACTGGTACATCCAGCTGAGGGGTCCCAAATACAACGAAACGTGCGTCCTGGATCCTGCTGCTACTCACAGTTGCCTTCCTCTGATCCAAAATACATATCCCTTACTCGTGTTTGAATCATAAAATATATATCAGAAATAGCGCCTTTTCCTCTCCTCCAAATAAATTTAACCTTCTCCTCAAAAATTCAGGGATCTCTGATCCTATCCTGTTTGATACTGGCTTTTGTTTCCGTTTTAGTCATTATCTCCAATGCATAGTACCAGTCATTCTGCTTTTCCTATTGCTGTATATGAACGGTGTTAGTCATAAAGTATAAGATATTTTCAAAATTATACTCTTGATGGAACGAGTATGGTGTTAGCTATAGTTAGAGTTTTGTAGACACTGATTGCTACAGTGGATTTATCTTCTAAATTATGAATGATTCCAACTGGCATCCTTCCAGTGGCATTACTCAACTACTAAGCTGATTGAAGTTAGTTGGAGAACCATTGAAAACCCTGAAGCGACAGACAGCTGTTTCGTTCTAGTTAAGGGCTTCTTGGAAGTGATTACCCATGACTCCAAGTGGAGTCAGGTGCACCACCATTCAGTGGTCCCGGTGCGCACTGCTGAAGAGTCTCAGGCTAGTACGAAACAGTTATCTAGCGCCACCTGACTTCCGCTGGATCGTCAATTGGTGTCAGTTCATAAACAAAACTACTTTCAAATAAATCAGTCCTTAAAAAGTAACTGAATTGTATGTAGTTTACCTTAGTAGTACTAAAGATCAAATCCTACCCAAAAATTAACTGTCATAATAGCTTATTTTCATCTTTTGTAAGTATTTTTTTACTATCCAGTTACTGTGGTGCATGTAACAGAGATAATTTGTGTTCTAACAGAAGCTTATTTGTAATAAGCCAATACAAGAGTACAAATTTGGCACTGTGGTAGAATTTAATTCCATTTTAGTTGATCCATTAAATGTATTACTCAACACCTGTTTCAGATATATGGAAAATCCAACTCCCTAACATTATCAACTGTATAAACCATATCTCAAAGTTGTACAGTCATATTCATACGACTATGGACAATAAAATGTGTCCGGAATGCTATCCAGTAAATAAGGCTATTTCAAATAAATAAACGAGAATGGTATTTGAAATGAGAAGAGCTCAGTGTTAACGTCTTTTACTACAGCGTTGGATATATCATGATTGCATCTGAGGACAAATACACTTTACAGACATCTGTCCAAAAGATCGAAACCTTCTAATTAATAAACATGAATTATGTTTGAAAATAAATATGAATCGACTACTTCATTTTTATGTCATACAATATGACGACATATTAGATCCTATAAAAGAGATTTCATTGAATTTTTGAATCAGATTTATTACCTTATTTTGTTGTAATACTAACATCAGTGTGATAGGTGATGAGATCGAATGATTCTGTTCCTGCTTCTATATATTTCTCTCTCCCTGTATCTCTTTAAACAATAATCTTTCTTACTGTACTGTACTTACTAACTTTTTAAATAACTCTTTTCTCTTCTCACTAATATATCATGTCAATAAGAAAAAGTTCCTGTTTAACAATACATATAATGTATGATTACTGTGTTACAATATCAGTTTCATAAGAGCATAGTACTATGCAGATTCTCCTTAAGCATCCAATATTATTATTTATCTATTTTATTATTTGTCTCTTGGGTTCCCACTGGAACATACGGCTTCACTAGTACGTCTCCACTACACTCCACTCCCTCCTCTGAAATCTTCTCAACTTCGCTCCACCACAACCCACAACCTCTCATTTATTCCTCACACCACACCATCTCATCCACATCATCCTCACATCCAACGCCCAACTGGTCGTTTCCCATCTGGGTTCCACTCGACAGCCTGGCTTGACACGTGATGTCCACAATCGGCCTTCTCAGTGTATGCCCAATCCAATCCAACCCCTCTCCACTTCCTTCCAGTGCATATTTGTTGAGTGATAGGTTGTTGCCTCATTGGTCGTTGTGAGCCAGCCAGCCAGCCAGCCAGCCAGCCAGCCAGCCAGCCAGCCAGCCAGCCAGCCAGCCAGCCAGCCAGCCAGCCAGCCAGCCAGCCAGCCAGCCAGCCAGCCAGCCAGCCAGCCAGCCAGCCAGCCAGCCAGCCAGCCAGCCAGCCAGCCAGCCAGCCAGCCAGCCAGCCAGCCAGCCAGACAGACAGCCAACCAGACAGTCAGACTTCATTCTTGCTGATTCCCACTATTCTGGCAATCTGAGCTTCAGTAATGAGACAGTGTAGGCACTTGTTCATGAATGTCTGTAGTTTGTTGGAAATTCCCTTCGTAACGCGCCAACTCTCTCAACCATCACATAGAATCACTGACTTACTTCACTCAATTGGTGTTGAAAATGGGGATGTTGTTCACACTTTGTGCTGAGTGGAGTGGAGTGGAGATCTCCACATTGGTTCCAGGTTAATGCACGAAGGCCTGTCTTGCTATCTTTCCTATGCTGGTTTGCTTTGACATCCTCGTCTGTGCGTGTGTTGTCTGTAGTTGAGACGGTGCTGCCTAGTTAGGTGTAGGTGGAAGAGGCTACTTCCTTTGAGTTTCTCCTATTGATGGTGATTGGTGCTTGTTGTTGCTGATGCTGTTGTTGGTTGACTATCATCATCACCTTTGTCTTCTCTACGTTCACCTAAAGGAAGTCTCGTCTTCACTGCTTTACCTCACCTCTTCTGTCAACTTGTCAGTTTTCACCTGTAGATCTTCGAGTTTGTGCTACAAGACTTCACACATAAATCATCATGGTTGTCGAAATCCAAATCTTCTAGGTTCTCTCCTCCGGTCCAACCAGTGTATTCCCCTCTTCTCACAGCTCCTCACTGTTTGTTGCATGATCCAGTCCAGTTGATCATAATCAGGAATATCATGGGTGATAGTAGGCAGCTTTGTTTTACTCCTGTCTTCACTTCGGAGGCATCACTGATGTTCCCATTGTGAATTACTTGGCATGTGGCGTCTTCATATAGTTGTTGAATGAGATTGATAAAGGTATTTGGCACTAAAACCGTAGTGTTGGAGCAACTGCCTTAAGTATCCAACATATTCAACTCACAAAATATGACATGCATGAAATCAACAATTATGAATAAAATTTACACTAATATTCCATTGAATGTTGGTTAAATATATACTAAGTTGGAATGATGCAAAGATGCAAACGAGATAAAATAACAGTAAACTATTCATCCAATAAATAGTTAGTTGGCAGTTACTAAACGTGTAGCCTCATTCTCATTTATTTTGCTCAAATATACAATACCTAATTCACTTAACAACAGGCTTAACAGTATAAGTTTGAGGTTTATGAAGATTTTACTTGTTTCAAGGCAGTATTTATCATAGACTGACATCATTTGAAGGACCAATAAATTTAGACCCAATAGTTGAATGATTAACAGGTTTGCTTTGAGGCCTGAAGGTCCTGAGTTCTATCCCTGAAGGGAACATGAGCGTACACAGTTGATGAGTGCCATACTGGGACGAAACAGCTATCCACTACCTCCAGGTCTTTAGTGGTTCTGCAACTGATGTCAGTCCATGGTGATAATTTTTAGGCTAACAAAGATTGGTAATAAGTTGTAGACAGAAAGAAACCTGGAACCAATTATTCTTACACTGACTGGATAGCAACCAGTCTCATATTGTCTAGTTCTGGGTGCAAACTAAATTCTACCGATCATTTTACAATGTGGTCACTAAGCTATAGAGCTCACCATCACGATGCACTTGGATGTTAGTTGGTTGGAAGGGATCGGCAGGGTTTCCTATAGGTGCACTTCTACTGGTAACGCAGATTAGAGATGATATCAATGATCTTTAGGTAAATTTGTATAGGGTAAAGACTTCAGAAAGTCCAAAGTATCCTGAGTTATGGACGTTTTCTACTATTTCTTTTCGAAATTATAGTGATTCAATTACTAAATAACAACGCTTATAGAATTAATCTTACTGTGACCATTCTTCCTCAGGAGGCGGCGTAAATCAATAAATTTCCAAGCACAATTAACTTCTTAGTAATTTCATCCGTGACTTATTATTTCAACGTGATGATAAGATGATCATTTATGTGTTGTCATTATAAACTTTGAATGACCTAATCACTCACATACTTATCTTGTGTATTCACACGAAAGTCAACAAAGCATTATTATTATTTGTCCCTTGGGTTCCCACTCGAACATACGGCTTCACTAGCACGTCTCCACTCCACTCCACTCCACTACCTTCTCTCAAATCTTCTCAATCTCGCTCCACCACAGCACACAACCTCTCATTTATTCCTCACACCACACCATCTCATCCATCTCACCATCACCACGAATGATCGACTCGTCGTTTCCCATCTGGGTTCCACTCGACAGACTGGCCTGACACGTGATGTCCACAACCAGCCTTCTCAGTGTATGCCCAATCCAATCCATCTCCACTTCCTTCGAGTGCATATTTGTTGAGAGATAGGTTGTTGCCTCATTGGTTCGTTGTCAGCCAACCAGCCAGACAGACAGACTTCCTCCTTGCTGATTCTCACTATTCTGGCAATCTGATCTTCAGTAACGAGACAGTGTAGGCACTTGTTCATGAATATCTGTAGTTTGTTGGAAATCCCTTTCGTAACGCGCCAAGTCTCTGAACCATATAGAAGCACTGACTTGACTTTGGTGTTGAAATCAACAAAGCTTTACGAGATCGAAATAAACTTAGCACTCTTTCTGACATTGCTCTTACGAAATGATCCCTTTATAACAGAACCTATGATGTTGTTAGTTCTTCAAAAGGAACGGTTACAGTTCAACAACACAGTGTACCAGTAAACTTAAATAAGATTATATTCAGTATCGAAACATCAACAATTGGTACTTAACTAAGGATGATAAAATTGCATCACTTTAAATAAGGATATCTATTTATGGCATTAGTAAATATGTGATATTTCAGCTTACTGTCAATAACACATTTATATTTTGTGACCATGACAATGCTTACAACTCAGTAATCAAAACCATCTGAGAAGAGGATGATTTATCCACCAGCAAGGTAAATGTCATAGGTGAATCAATTTGCTTCCGGGTGTTTAGCACCGCGCATACGCAAGCACACACACACATATATATATTCATCTTACTTTACCTTATCAGATTGTATAAGGTTTTTGTGTTTCTGTCTTTCAGCTCCGCCTACTTTTTTCGATTGTTAAATATACCATTAACTTAATACCTGTACAGCATTAAGTCCATAATTCATGTGTTCTAGTTGCCATGTTTATTTTTGTTTTCTTTTTTTTAAACTACAGAATCACTAGAGCGTATGATAATCAACAACTGATGATTATTATCTCTTCTATTCCCTTCTCCATCTTCCTCACTTACCTTTGCAAGTATAAGAGTCACGCAATCTTGGGATAGATGATTTTCTAAAACATACAATGAAGCATAGACACAGAGAGAAATAAACCTATAACTAAACTGATAGATATAATGATTTTCCTGTTTTAATTGACTGGTTAAGTTGATAAACAACTTTCAAAGTGTTACATAAGCGGATTAACAGAATGAATGACAGCTCGTGGACAACAATCTGTTGCAAAAACAATAGTTATATTAGTGATGATGACAGTCATGATACTGCCAGTTCAATCAATATAACAAGTATGACATTTTGTATCGAACAGTGATTTGATCAAAAATGGAATAGAAGTGTTTCTTGTAAAAATGACATCTTAACAACAATTAAAAGATTTTTCATGACAAATTAATCATTAGTTAAATGAGATAAATATTTTAAGAAATATTGTATAATAGGTACTTCTTCTAACTGTGTAAAATATGACTTTCAATGACTGGTATATGAAAAGTAAAATTTGAGTTTTCAAAACATTCAAATATATTAACTCAATAATTCAAAAGGTTAACTGTCGATATTTATGATGGAAATTTGTCCCCAGTGGAATCCAGGACACATGTTTCATTTTATTTGAGACTCGTCAGCTGAATGTACCTGTACCGCAGCGGGCGACGTTGTTCTCACTAGGACTTGAACTCAGAACCAATCATTTCAAATGTTAAACGGTTATCCAGTAAGCCATCGATCTATTATGCCAATTCCTTGTGTGGCAGGTATAGTCTTCATGTTATGTCTTATAATTTTATGTCACTCATTGTAGAAAGATGAGGTCGGAGAAAAAAGATATCGAAACTATACACCCCAACCTCAGTATATGCATGCATAGAAGCTACTACTACTACTACTACTACTACTACTACTACTACTACTACTACTACTACTACTACTACTACTACTACTACTACTACTACTACTACTACTACTACTACTACTACTACTACTACTACTACTACTCACACTACTACTGCTACTACTGCTACTCACACTACTACTACTACTACTACTACTGCTACTCACATTACTACTACTACTCACACTACTACTACTACTCACACTACTACTACTACTCACACTACTACTCACACTACTACTACTACTCACACTACTACTACTACTACTACTACTACTCACACTACTACTGCTACTACTGCTACTCACACTACTACTGCTACTACTCACACTACTACTGCTACTACTCACACTACTACTGCTACTACTCACACTACTATTGCTACTAATTAGCATCGTATGTTAAAGTGTTTAACGTAGTGATAATCAAGGAGGAATTATAACTAATCATCATTTCATGAATAGTTGTTTGCTACTTACCATATGACTAAATTACTTTCAGTAACTGAAAAAGATAGCTATTGCTGCTCATTATTATGATATCATTGTTTATAATATAGAACATACTAAAACAAATTTCAAAATAGGTTTCATTGAACATTAATAACTTTGCCACAACTAAGAAAATAACTATTGAACATATTTATTTCTTAATATTAGAGCTAATCCACAGTGTATTTCTATGATACTCTTAAGACAAATGCATTAACTTCAGCATCAGTCAACCAGATGTTATTAAATAATACCTTTCATGGTCAACTAACTTGCTGTAGTACAACACAAGTTATCCTAGGCAGTATCGACTCAACTACAGGTGTTGGTGGCACAGATAAGGACGTCAAAGCCAGGATCGGAAAGATAGCAAGACAGATCTTCATCAGTCTGAAATAATCAGTGTGCAGATCTACTGCACTCCACTCCACTCCACTGCAGTCCACTCCACTCAACTCAACATAAAGCGTCAACAACATCCGCATTTTCAACACGAATGTCAGTCAAGTAGGTCAGGGCTTCTATGTGATGGTTGAGAGACTTGGTGTGTTATGAAAATCATTTCAACAAACAACTGCAGACATACATCATCATCATCATCATCATCAGCTGCCGCTTGTGATCACTGGATATTGACACTGAAGATGGAGATGAGATGACCAGAATAATTAGAATAAACAAGAGCTAACTCACTCTGGTTGGCTGGCTGGCTGACAACGAACCAACAAAGCAAGAACCTATCACTCAACAAATATGCACTGGAAGGAAGTGGAGATGGAATGGATTGGAGATACATTGAGAAGACCGATTGTGGACATGACCTGTCAGGCCAGGCCAGTCCAGGCCGTTGAGTGGAATCCAAGTGGGGGATGATGAGTTGTGCGTCCGAGGCTGGGGTGACATGGATGAGATGATATGAGGAAGAAATGAAAATTTATGGGCAGTTGTGCAGCCAGGTTGAGGAGACTGGAGAGAAGATAGCGGAATGGCGATGTGCTACTGAAGCCGTATGTTCCACTAGAATCCCAAAGGACACACAGTCATCAACATCAGACAATTTGAAATATTTTGACATTTTTTTCTAACACATATATCAAAGGTTATTTTTCCTGAAATTGCTTAAGGCCAGAAAGGGTTAGTACCTTGACCTCTCAGCTCTATAGATAATGCATCTGGTAGACAACTCAGGGGTCACTGCTTTAAATCATCTTTTGAAGTTAGTTTTCATTCTCACTTCAACTATCATTCTGTTACATACAGATTAGTCTGCCATACCACGATTGTACCAGATAGTCGCACTAATTAACTAATAAATAAATGGTGGATAGAGAATGTGTTATCAGTGATATTAACAGCAATTTTCTTCAGATAAAAATATTCCAAGTTATCTTTTCAGTTGATCTATTTAAAAAAATGTTTATTCGCTACACTGAAAAAGAAATCAAGTTGATACACATGTCTGATATGTTCTTATTGTTCATTTCTATGGCTAAACTGAACAGAACAGCGTTTATATATATAAAAGGATCAAAAGACTAAACATTGTTCTGTTCAGTTTAGCCATAGAAATGAAAGAAGAAAATAAATGAATTCCTTGAAAACACAAATACAATGAGAAGTACGCTGACCGACTCCTTCCAGGTTATCTTAATTAAAAAAAAGAAGAAATATTAAAAAGAATAGGAATAGACAGCACGTATATATATTTTCTTTTCCAAGTATGTTTCACTTATTAATTCATGAAGAAACAGAGTATGTCTAGATCCTTTTTCATTCCTTTTGTCCACCACATCTGAAAGTTTTTAATCGAAGAAAATGCATACACACACACACATACAAGTGGGTTTGTTTATATGTGTGAGGAAGAGCTATGTATTTTGATGACATCCCATTGACTACCACCGCAACAATAATCATTCGTACCACAACTACCACCATTATAATGACCACCATATGACATTATTCGTAACAATAGGATACCTCTGTGAGATCGTCAAAATATTAAGGTGAACAATATTGAAAAGGAAATCAACTTAATAATAACAATAATAATAAGGAGTAGTACTCAATTAATTAATTAATTAAACACCTTTTGAGCACAGCATGATTTGACTATGATGATGATGATGATGATGATGATGATGACCTGTATTTATCACAATAAACAAATTTTTACGAATCAATACAAAAAGGAAAGTAAATAAACAGGAAATAAACTTCAATGAACACTTTCCTTATAATTTGGATGTTTGCCAAGAATAGAACTCAACTGAACTCAAATTGATTTGTATTTTTCTTGCATTTTATCTGTTTATTTTATTTTATTTGACAAACTGACATTTTATTTAAGCCTTGATATGAACAGACCAAAAAAGAGTTGATAGCATATACTGTAACTGGTGTTCATATTGTCGAAGTACTATTCTCTTTTGTTAAAGATACCAGATTTTTAATAAAAAGGTGTCATGATTAATATATCTCTACTATTCAAGTAAGACTTTACATCTACTATATGTATGACAGTTGAATGTGTAGTATTTGATTAGTACTAAAGATATGTATATGCTCAGGAAGTGGAGATGGATTGAACATGCACTGAGAAGGCCGATTGGGGACATCACGCGTCAGGCCAGCAGCTCGAGTGGAATCCCCATGGGAAGCGACGAGTTGGACGTCCGAGGGTGACATGGAGGAGATCGTGAGAGGAGGAAATGAGAGCTTCTGGACTGTCGTGGAACCAGGTTGAAAAGATCTCAGAGAAGAGAGGTCACTGGAGACGTGCTACTGAAGCCCTATGTTCCACTAGGAACCCAAGGGACTAATAATAATAGTAATAATAATATGTATATGCTCAGACGGTTGTACTGTATTTAAGGTATTTCTAAATACTATGGAAATTAATGTTTTATTCTTAAAAATAAAACTACACTCAAGGTTAAGTAGATTTTTCAAATGGAAACATGCCACTTTAACAACCTAATCATTTCCTTAAAATGTATTGATAATTAACCAAACAATCTCTAAAACTGTAATATAACTGATTAGGTTGACCGACAATAGTTACACGTATGAAATACGTCATTCTATGCCATGCATAGAGTTACAATTCGCATCATCATAGAACAGAGTATAGAATGGCAGTCAAATCTACCCGTACATCAACTTCATTGACTTTGAAAAGGCCATTGACAGCGTCGACTGAGAAGTAATTTCGCACCTGCTGCTTCAACACTACGGTTTTAGTGCCATAAACCTTTATCAATCTCATTCAACAATTTTATGAAGATGCCACATGCCAAGTAATTCACAATGGGAACATCAGTGATGCCTTCGAAGTGAAGACAGGAGTAAAACAAGGCTACCTACTATCACCCATGATATTCCTGACTGTAGTGGACTGGATCATGAAACAAACAGTTAGGAGTGAGAAAAGGGGGATACGATGGACCGCAGGAAAGAATCTAGAAGATTTGGATTTCACTGATGACTTGTGTCTGATGTCTCACAAACTTGAAGATCTACAGGCAAAAAACAACAAGTTGACAGAAGAGGTGAGGTAGGGGAGCGAAGACGAGACTTCCTTCAGATGGACCTAGACAAGACAGAAGTGATGAAGATACCCAACCAACACCACCACCACCACCACCACGAACAACAACAACAACAAGTTCCAATCACCATCAATGAGAGAAACTCAAAGGAAGTAGTCTCTTCCACCTACACTCATCTAGGCAGCACCGTCTCAACTACAGGCAACATAAGCACAGACGAGGATGTCAAAGCAAGCCAGCATCGGAAAGACAGTAAGACAGGCCTTCATGCATTAACCTGAAATCAGTGTGGAGATCTTCTCCACTCCACTCCACTCAGCATAAAGTGTGAACAACATCCTCATTTTCAACACCAATTGAGTGAAGTAGGTCAGTGCTTCCATGTGATGGTTGAGAGAGTTGGGGCGTTACGAAAGGCATTTCCAACAAACTACAGATATTCATCAACAAGTGCCTACACTGTCTCGTTGCTGAAGATCAGATTGCCAGAATAGTGAGAATCAGCAAGAAGGAAGTCTGGCTGGCTGGCTGGCTGGCTCACAACGAACCAACAAAGCAACAACCTATCACTCAACGAATATGCACTGGAAGGAGGTGGAGATGGATTGGATTGGATTGGGCACACACTGAGAAGGCCGATTGTGGACATCATGTGTCAGGCCAGTCTGTCGAGTGGAACCCAGATGGGAAACGACCAGTTGGCTGTCCGAGGTGATGGTGACATGGATGATTTGGTGTGGTGTGAGGAATAAATGAGAGGTTGTGGGTTGTGGTGTAGCGAGGTTGAGAAGATTTGAGAGAAGGTAGTGGAGTGGAGTGGAGTGGAGTGGAGTGGAGTGGAGCGGAGCGGAGTGGAGTGTAGTGTGGTGTAGTGTAGTGGAGACGTGCTAGTGAAGCCGTATGTTCCAGTGGGAACCCAGGGACAAGTAATAATAATAATAATAATAATAATGCCATGCCTAGAATAACAATGAAAGTGTTGGTCAGCTGAAAGACTCCTTATTTGATAGGGTAATTTAATCACTGAACAACTGAAGAGTTTTTATTTCAATGCCAAACATGTAGAAAAGAAATTACACCTTTTGATGAACACTTCAAGAGATTACTGAATCATCTATCCATAATTCTAACATTTGAACATTAAGCATCATGTTCTCATTCCCATCTCGTTATTTTCCTACCAGATAAATTTAGTTTATTGGAAAACGGACTGTATCTAGTAGTAATTTTTCATCCAGATATTACACAGCTTGGGATTCGCTTTCCTGTGAAGACGAATGAGGGATTAATGTATGATACTAATCTTATTATATGGGCCACTGGATTCTGACACAGTGGCTCAATAGTAAC